ATCGAATGCATCTTTGATGCTCTTGAATCCGAGTTTTGACGGAACGACCAGTTTCGCCAATATACACATGTCCACATGAACAAGGAATAGAATAGACACCACAGGAAGATAGGGGCGGTAATGAGTCCTTAGGAGAGGGTAGATATTGAGAGATTTTCTTGGGTGGTCGAAAAGTAGTCCTGATACCTTCTTTGCGAAGAATTTTGCCAATCCTATCAGTGACATTTCGAATATACGGAAGAAAAGCCACAGGAGTATTACCCGAAGATTCTGAATTTGTTGTCCTAGGGTGTAAAGGGGGATTTAGATGTCGGTGTGTAATATTTTGAATTGTGGACTTGGAGTAACCATTGGCGACAAGGGTTTTTTGCAGATGGCCAAGTTCTTCTCTAAGGTTGTCGGGTTCAGAAATCGAAATGGCCCGATGGATGAGAGAGTTGATCACAGAATTCTTTTGGGCAGGATGGTGGTGTGATGAAGCATGTAGGTAACGATTCGTGTGAGTCTTTTTTCTATAAACAGAGTGACCCAATCGGCCATTGGGCTTGGAGGTGACTAACACATCGAGAAAGGGAAGGGACCGATTATTTTCTACTTCCATTGTGAATTTTATACTCGGATGTTGTGAGTTAAGATGATCTAGGAAGGAAGAAAGGGTATGTTGACCATGGGGCCAGATGATAAATGTATCATCAACGTAGCGGAACCAGACTTTTGGTTTTAAGGGGTAAGATTCTAGGGCTAAAGACTCAAAGGATTCCATGAAAATGTCAGCAATGACAGGGGAAAGGGGAGAACCCATTGGTGTTCCAGATATTTGTTTGTAGAAATTGCCTCTAAAAGAAAAATATGTTGAAAGGAGGCATTTTTTCGGCAAGATCTGCCAAAACCAAAGACTTGTTATCATTGGTCAAGTGATCTCGCAGAACAACTAGAGAGTCATGTATGGGGATATTGGTAAATAGGGATGATACATCGAAACTGACGAGAATATCTTGGGGATCGACTGTGAGAGAGGAGATTAAGGTGATGAAATGTGTGGAATTTCGGACATAAGAAGAGGTACGACCAGTATAGGTCTTAAACTGATTGGACAAGTACTTAGCGAGTTTGTAGGTAGGAGAGTTAATCGTAGTCACAATGGGACGAAGAGGTACGTTATCTTTATGGATTTTCGGAAGACCATAAATTCTGGGGCAGATGGAGTTTTTTGGAACTATGGACTTCTTAACATCATCGGAAAGATCGGATTGTTTGATGGCATGGGAAATTTCGCGTTCGACTCTAGGAGTGGGGTCTCGAGAAATTGTATTATAACAGGATGTATCCCTAAGTAAGTCGTTTACTTTCTCTATGTAGGAAGGAGTATCCAGGATGACTGTGGCATTACCTTTGTCTGCAGGAAGGATTATTATCTCAGAAAGAGAACGGAGATTTTTGAGAGCTATGAATTCCTCACGAGATATATTGGAAGTAGGGATTTTGGCTGTATCAAGACATTTAGCGACGTCAAAGCGGATACGGTCGGCTGGAATTTTGGGAATTGTGCATTCGAAATGTCACTGATAGGATTGGCAAAATTCTTCGCAAAGAAGGTATTAGGACTACTTTTCGACCACCCAAGAAAATCTCTCAATATCTACCCTCTCCTAAGGACTCATTACCGCCCCTATCTTCCTGTGTTGTCTATTCTATTCCTTGTTCATGTGGACATGTGTATATTGGCGAAACTGGTCGTTCCGTCAAAACTCGGATTCAAGAGCATCAAAGATGCATTCGATCAGGTCTTTTCTCCCATTCTGCAGTTGCCGAACACTGCCAAGAAACCGGTCATTCCATATTGTTCGAAAAAACCCATATTATTTCTAAGAGCCCCTTCTTTTATTCCAGGAAAATCCGCGAATCTCTAGAGATCCGAAAAAATCCCCATAATATCAATCGAGAGGAAGGATACTACTTGTCTCCCATCTGGAATCTCAGTCTAGAGCCACCGTCCGGTCCCGCCACCACTATGCAGCCACATGATTGGCCAGCGCGCGCTTCTTGACGTTCGCGCCACGAAGTGTGCCGATACGTCCCGACACGACAGGCACCGCGACTATAAATAGAGCGGTAGCGGAGTAATCGTCGGATTCACTCCCCGCCTCTCGACGCGTTAGTGTTCTGAGCTGTTGGACGTGAATCCCTGTCCTGGCATTTGGTTTTCACCTCTGGCTGCGTTGAGTAGTTGAGTTACTGTGACCAAATGCCCATCTTGGTAGTTAGTATTCGCCTCTGGTTGCGTTGAGTAACTGAGTTACCGTTGCTAACTACCCATCTTCCTGTTCTTTTGTTTTCTTTTTTCCTTTTCTTTGTTCTCCTGAAGAAGCTACATATAATTGTAGCGAAACGTCGAGATGAACCCACTTTTGGGTCACTCACAAATGACACGGTCCAAACCCGGAAGACGAATAAACTATAATTAGGACATTCTTGTTTAGCTTTACTGGACACAGGGTCCAATATCTCTATTTTAGGTTCTCTAGGTCTGGAATTTCTCCAGAATTCAAATGTAAATATAGGAATAGATCAAAGTTTGCAAGTGACTACAGCTGATGGTCAAGTTTAACCAATTTTAGGTCAATTCACTACTGAGATTTCTGTTAGTTTTTGTAAAAGAATGATTACATTCTTTGTTATCATAATAAATCAATCGTGACTGCTTTAAGGTCATATTCTTTTTCTGATCAAAGAGCTTGGGATACTCATATCCACTCTATAGTACAGGCTATCAGGACTTCTTCTCACGAAATAACCAAATGTCCACCATCTCATTTGATGTTTGGCTGTCATGTTCCTCTTTCTGGTGATTATTTTGGTACAATTTCAGAAAATGCCAATAACTTTCCCACTATATCAGATAAATTACACCGTTTAGAAGATATTCAGCATTTTCCTGATATTTAGGTGGATGTTCGCAAACGTTTGAAAGCATCTTATGCTAGAAATAAATGCCATTATGACTTGAGAAAGCGAGATTTATCCTTCAGAATTGGAGATTCTGTGTTGAAAAGAAACTTTGTCAAATCTGATAAAGTGAACTTTCAAGCGGCCAAGTTATGTCAGAAGTACATACCTTGCACAGTTATTAAGGTCATTTTTCCTTTAATTTATGAGTTTAAGGAAACTTCCACTGGCAGGAAATTAGGAAGGTTTCATGTCAAAGGCTTACTGGAGGACAAGACAGTAGGTCCACATAACTTGTCAGATAATTTGGATTCTTCATCTTCAGATGAAGATTAACTGGTACCTTATCAATGCTGTATTAGTTTGGTTGTTTAAGATCTGTTTATCTATTTTGTTTACCTAGCAAAAACAATAAGATTTTGTGCTATTTTGTCTTCCTCTTTCTTATTTTATCTTAATGTTGATTATTATCTTAGTTTATGGACTTGTTAATTTTGTTGTTTGTTTTCTCTTAAAAGTCCAACTGCATATCATAGGAGTACAGGATGGATGTATGGGAATTTCCCCATCTTGAGTTCTGAGTTGAATAGATATTTACAGGGATAATTCGGAAAACATTCCAAATATTCTCTTTAATAGTGTTGTATGGTTTTGTGGACCATGGCCATAAAGCTTATGCATTCATATTCAGTTACTATGTCGGTGTTTTAGCGTTGGTTCAGGATTGACCACCCTGGATGTTTGCTTTCACTTGGCTCAGAAATATATCAATACATATTAGTTGTTCCTTGAGTGTCTCTTAGGTTGAAATTAGAATGTGTCATTTAGAATTGGATAGTTCTGATATTCAGCAGTAAATAAGTCTGTTTAACTTGATCTGTTATCTCCTATGTTATTATCTTCTCAAGAATTTGAGTTTAACATATCTTAGTATCTTGAGTTTGTACCTGTCTCCCTATCATTCGTACGGATTGGTAGATGTGAGTTTATCTTTACCTTGAGTTTATCTCGTACCTTGACTGAGTTTATCTCGTATCTTTACCTTGAGTGTATCTTTATCTTAACCTTAATTGAGTTTATCTCGTACCTTTACCTTAATTGGTTTATCTCATACCTTTACCTTAAGTTAGTTATCTTTACCTTTACCTGGATAAGTTTATTTCTTATCTATATTTTATGAATATATATCTTATCTTTATCTTGATTATGGAGTCCTAAAATTCTGTCCTTTACTGTTTTTGTCGTGAGTAAAGAATTGGACCACGTCAATAGTACAGTTTGGGTATTACAGTTAGGATCTCTTTTATCTTTCCTTCTACCAAGTGTATAGCTGGTAGAAGTGAGTTTTGTGCATATCCTCTACCATCAGTAGATCTGGACTTGCAATTATCTTTTACCTTTTGTGCATATCCTTTACTACGAGTTGGAATTGCAGTTATCATACCTACCTTTTTTTAGCATACCCTATACCAGGGGTGCTCAAACGGTCGATCGCGATCGACTGGTCGATCGCGAGTGCTTTTTGGGTAGATCTCGAGAAGAAAAAAAATTTTAATAAATAGGTAGGTAACTAAACTACTGTCAGCAGAGTTAAACGTTTTTATTTATACTGAACTATACAAATACATAGAATGCTTGACTAAGCATCATTGCAATTCAAAGAAGTGGGGACAACAAAATACTGTCCATACAGCATATTTTATATTTACATATATTAACTAATTATTTTATTAATTCAATATTTATTATAATTGTTAATCAAATTTGGGATGATATTCTATCAACTACAACAATGTATTACGTAATAAAATAACACTGCTTGCTGCAAAAGGTGGCTTTATCAAAGGAACGCGCGGCACTTGTCAAAGAAAAGCCGTGTTGTTTCTAGACGAGGGACAGTACAGTGGAGTTTCGGGCGGCGCGTTTGACGGGAACATTCGAGACTTTCGTTCACGCCGATATAAATGTTGCGACTGCAGGAATTGGAGTTATTCTGAATTGTACCTTGATACCGAGCCTACGTCGATACAAAGTTTATTATTAAATAGTGAAAAATGAGTGCAGTGAAGAAATCTAAAATGTATCATTTTAATAAGGATTGGGAGGAAGAATTTTTCTTTTCTATGGTGAAGGATAAGTGCATTTGTGTTATTTGTCGTGCGTCAATTGCAATACCTAAGCGTGGTAACTTAGAGAGGCATCATAAAACGGTTCATAAAAACTATGAAAAGGATTTTCCGCCACAGAGTGAATTAAGAAAACGAAAAGTAAGTGATTTAATATCTTGTTTGAAAAAAGAACAATCCATGTTCACAAGACTAGCCAAACAATCAAAAGCTGCTACGATCGCGTCATTTAAAATATCTCATATTTTGGCGAAACACAAGAAACCATTTGAAGATGGATCGGTGGTGAATGAAGCATTTATTAAAGTGGGGGAGACTTTATTTGGAGATTTTAAAAATAAAACAGAAATCATGTCTGCTATTAAAGAACTTCAGTTATCTCGTCCGACTATTGGCTAGGTATTGAAGTCTAAGTTACGGCTACGTGACTAAGGCGTATTGAAGCCATGAGTCAAGACATCGCAGATAAACTAAAACATGATATCATGGAATGTACATAATTTTCTTTACAGTTCGACGAATCCATCGATATGACAGACACTGCCCAGCTGTGTATTTTTATTCGGATGGTATTCAATGACATGTTGGATAAGGAAGAATTTTTGACAATCATTCCTCTGAAGGGGAAGACCCGTGGCGAAGACTTATATGACGTTTTCTTAAATTTTGTGAAAAACTACGAGCTACCAATATATAAATTAATGTGCATTACATCCGATGGAGCACCAGCAATGACTGGAAACAAAAACGGTTTTGTGGTATTGTGTCGAGCTAATGAAGAATTCCCTTCATTTTTTTCATTTCATTGCATTATACATCAACAAGTTTTGTGTTCAAAAGTTTTAAACACGGAGGAAATTATGGGCATTGCAACAAAAATTGTGAATTCCATCCGTGCACGTAGCTTGCAACGGCGGCTCTTTCAGTTGCAGTTGGAAGATAGGAAGTCAGCTGAACACACTGATTTAGTTTTTCACACGGACGTCAGGTGGTTAAGTGCGGAAAATTCCTAGAAAGGTTTCAAGAATTATTGCCCGAAATAACAGCTTTTCTAGACGAAAGAGGTGATGACACTTAGATTTTGAAAAACGAAAAATGGCTAAATGATTTGACATTTTTGACTGACATCACAATGCACTTAAACACCGTTAACTTGGAGCTTCAAGGTAAAGAAAAATCTATTATTGAGATGATTTGCGCAGTAAACGCATTCAAAAGTAAATTTCAACTTATGATAGATCAACTGAAAAGAAAGGATCGGAAACATTTTCCGTCTTTGAAAGCAAGGATTCCTCAGTTGAATTATGATCCGTATGAGGCTGAATTATCAAATATTTTTGAAGAATTCGAAATGCGTTTTTATGATTGCAGTAAATTGGAAAATATAGCATCATTTATGAGTTATCCTTTTTTATGTAAAAACATTGAGGAATTAGCTACTGAAATAGCAAGTCAGTTTAATATGAACTCATGTTCTGTTGAAAATGAGTTGGTGCAGATTATATCAGATATACATCTCAAAGCTACAGTATCTGATACAAATTTCTGGCGTCTAATATCTGAAGATAAATATCCGAATGTAAGACAAATCGCCCTTTTTTTGACTGACGGCATTTTTTGGGTCAACTTACTTGTGCGAGTCTGCATTTTCTGAAATGAAGATAATTAAGTCAAAATATCGTAATCGACTAACTGACGATCATATGACATAGTGGTTACGTACCATCTTATGAAAAGTATGCTGAGGACATACAGTGCCACGCTTCAACATCCAAAGCCACTCCTTAGTTAAGTTTAACACCATATGTAACTATTTTGTTTTGTAACAGCAAATAAACTCGCAATTTTGAATAACTATAAGTTTTTTCATTGATATTATAGAGAAGAACCTAACTAAACCTAGCCCAAACCTTGACTAAACCAATGTACCTATATTGTGCAGAAAGCTAATATCTATATATGCTACGGTACGCCCTACCTAGGTAGGTAGGGTGTATCGTGTATGTACGACAACCCTGCATCACCACACTTGCAGTCTCTCAGAGTCGATTGTAAGCAGTCTAAAAATATTGAGGTAGATCGCCAGCGGTTCAAGTTTGAGCACCCCTGCCCTATACTATGAGTATAGTGGGCTTGCTAGTATCTAGGCTTGCTAGTGCCTTTGCCGATTGTGTGTTTTCCTACCGCTGCTAAAGCAAGTAGATGTTATTGAATTATCTTTTACCTTAAGTTTTCGAATATGTTGCTGATATCCAGAACCATATCATATAGATGTTTAGGTTTGTAGTAATATAGTTTCAACTAGTTTTAATAAATTAAGCCCTCATTGAACTCTTGAGTAATTAATAGAATCTGTTCGCTCTAGTGTCAACGTTGGGTAAACTCGATAGGACTTTGTTTGAGTTTGTGTTGTGAATGGTTCTTGGTCGTATCTTTTTAGAGGTTGTTAATACACCTCAGTAGTGTAGTTTATTTGTAGTTTTACTAATACTTGGAAATATAGAATTTAAGTATTGTTGAAGGGTAATTTACTCTATATAAGGTTGAATTGAATTATATTGAATAAATTGGTATTGAGATTGATATTGCTATAAGGTTATTGAATTATATTTAGAAAGTACATAAGTAATTGGGTTATATGTTTTTTATTAGTTTTCTTAATACTTTGTCTTAATAAATTAAATTATTTTATTTTTTTTTTGGTAAATTACACATTATTACATAGATCACATGCTGTCTGTCTACTGTACGTCTGTCAGTGTCATAACTTTTATCCCATCTCCTGAGTAAACAGTGTGGCTGATAAGCTAACAGTGAAGCCGAAACGTTAACACCACAACGTTTCGGCTTCACCATCTTCATCGTTTGGTTTGTCCTTAAGGCTAGATTGTCCTAGACAATAAAAAAAGGAAACTTCTGATAAGTGGAAAGTTTTCCTTTTTTTCTGGAGTTAAAGAAGGATGTAGCAATCACAACTGCTAACATATAATTAGTTAATATAATTAATTATTGAAATAGAGAGGTGTATGTTCATAAGAGTATGTGTTGAAAGTCATCTTTGGGTGCCTTGATGTTTCTCTAAATGTTATTTTTTTTGTAGATTTCACCCGATTACGATAACAAATAATATTAGGATTAGTTTAATCAAACACCTACTTCAACCCATTGGTAACCAGGAAACGATTGTTTCCAGAACCACAGCGTTCTCCTTCATTCGCTTTTCGGAGCCCAAAGGCCGGAGCAGAGCCTTAAGGGGACTTAACCATAACAGCTGTTGTGTTGTGACAGACATTAACATCAAGTTTCATAGGGTTAAGGTTTTGTCTTGTAACTTACAACTTTGTATATGCATATACCAAGGTTAGTACTTATTACAGTTTTTATATCACCTATCAGAAGTTAGGTAAATGGTTATTAACTAATTAAATTAGATTCATTGTTAGGGAAGGGGTTCATGAGTTTATATAGCGGTTTTTAAAAGGAAAGTGAAGAAATTTATGTATCAGGGGTTTTAAAATTATATATATATATATATATATATATATATATATATATATATATATATATATATATATATATATATATATATATATATATATATATATATATATAATCTTTCCGAGTCTGTTGGCCATACTCATCACATTTGATCACTTTAAATATCTCCCAGTATCTATGTGTAAGCATAACACTTGCACATCGATCTGGTGTCTAACTGCTTCGACACATATTAGTCGTATATTTGTTAGGTAAGGTAGTTTCTTTTGTAAAACCGTCACGGTTTTTTTTTAGTATTTATATTCCCTACCATACTTATCTAGGATTTAACTTTAGTAACTAACCTTAGTGTTAAGATTTCGTTTCTCCCATGGACTTATATTATATATTTATTAATACATTTTTTCGTTTGGCCCAGTAGTGGAGATATTTCATTTTGTCGTGGCTTTTTGGTCCTCGTATACCGTAGCCCCACTACTGTAAATATATACATATATAATATATATATATACATATATATATATATATATATATATATATATATATATATATATATATATATATATATATATATATATTATTGTGATATTTAAAGTCTCAGTGCGCCAAACAATAAATTAGGTAATTAATTAATTAATTAATTAAAATTATTTAAATGATATGACTACGATTCTATCACACTTTATAATTCTCTTATCTCAGGGTTCTATTCGTGATTCAATATCTATGCTATTACATGTGAAAGGTAAGGTCCAAAGAATACCGGAATAATAAAAAACATATAGGATCTAACATTATATATTGAAATAAAATAATGAAATAAAATTCACACTCAAAAATTTTCAATAAACAAAATCTCATATAATGATTCTCAAAATTTTGTTCTACGTACGTGAACCTTCAAAATTAATGGTACAAACAATATTAGTTCAAATCTCAAAATCCCAAATATTATTCTAAATCTCCTAATCAAAATATTTATATCCTTTCTAAATTAAGTGTAAAAATTGTGTTATCAATAAAAGAAAAACTGCAGAAAACAAACTATCTCTCTCTGATGATGAGTGGTCCAAATCCTTGTTCCTTCTCTACCCTACTTCTCCCATTCCTACAATTATAAAATTTTCTAAAACATTTACAAATAATATTTTTCTAAAATTCTTAAAAACTAACAAAAACCTATCTTTCTAAAATCTATTCTATTGTCCTAATCACTGCACTAATGTATTTGGAAAACCCGGTTCAATTGTCTTTTATTTCACTTAAGCTTATTCACGTCATACAAATATATTTTAACAAAGAAAATAATTTATGCATATCTTATGTTTTGTTAAATACAGGTAATCCAAAATTAAAAGACTTTCATTTTTCGAAATGTTTGTAGTTTATTGTTTGACTTATCTGAATTATTTTAATGTTTTTGAAATTTGAAATATTTTAAGCAAACCAATATTGTCTTGATTTTACATATCATAACAATATATATATATATATATATATATATATATATATATATATATATATATATATATATATATATATATATATATATATATATATATAAGTGAGTTGTTTGTTAGTTGTCAATATTATAAATATTTTTGTTACAAGTAGTTTTGCTTTTATTTCAGTTCCTGCTTACAGTTATACATATAGCAGAACAAGGTCAATAGTGTCTTTTTCGGTTTTTAAAAATTATTACAGGTTATTATATCAATAGTACTTTATTTTTTGTTGTTCATAACTTCATTTATTTGTTCGTTAATTTCCTTTAGAAATTAGCTGGCGCCCATTTCAGTATTTTCCTAGGCATTTCCGAATATTCTCTTATCTTACCCTTTTTATAGTTCCAGATTTTCAGTTGCCTTATTATATTGTATTCTTTTGGTTAAAAGATCTCTTTTTCCCTTATCTCAAAGCCAGATTCTAGTGTAGTGAGGCTAGCTCGAATTCTTGCTTGAGGTTTTGTGTCTCTGTGTTCTTTTGAGCTTATCCATTCTTTTTATAATAACTTAACTATAAATTTTATGTAGGTTTCACACTCAACATTAACAACACAAATATAAAATATAATAATGGACAATACACTCTAAAAATTTTAAAAATTTTGGTCAAGTAAAACTTAGTTTATTTTATGACTTCTTTTAATTACTATTTAACTGGGAATAAGCCACAATTAACGGTAAAAATACGTTTATTGACGTTTCAATTTCCACTTCGGAAATCGTTCTCAAAATACAAACAGTAAATTAAACAAATTTTGTTTTTTGTTACTTAGTGAAAAATTCTTCTAATAATTTAATTTTATCTGACTCATTTATATTGACAATTCAGACATACATTATTCATTTTAAAGTAGACGACTTTAAAATGATATTGCCAATATTGTTGAGTTGCGCTCCTGGGATGACTTTACTTATAAGATAGTTCATTCGATTACATGAAATCAACTTTAACTTAAGAAAATTCGT